AAATAAATTAGTGAGGTAGTGGTTTACTGAAGTTACAAAGACATTAATATATGAGTAACAGGTCAGTGTAAACACAAGCTTCTGTCAATTATGGATCATTCAAACTATTTATATAAAAATATGTAATAAAGTTCTAAAACAAGTATTCGGTATATTCCTTGATAGCTTTTGGAGAAGGTTGTTTTTAAGTTTACTAAAACCTATCGTTTCAACTGTTTCACTTTATAAAAAAGGGAACATGTGAGTAGAGCATCATTGAGTTTCTTATTCTGTCAGTAAATTATCCAAATGAATGTTTTTCATTATTTTAGTCAACCATAAACAAATTGATTGTACCTTTTAATGATGACCTTACATGGTCGGCAAAGTTAAATTAACTTCAGAAAATCAAATCTGTTCTGAGAAAAAAACTAATAAATGTTTAAAGATAGGAACTTGCCATCCCACTGAAAAACAGTCCGTAGAGATTTTAAGGCGTAGTTGTAGTTCAGTCCAACGTTTCATTTGGATTCATTTCTCCAACAGTCAACTATTTTCATAAAGAATATATATATTTTTCAAAGTCAACTTTATTGTCAATCTTACTCAGTTTGAGAGATCAAAAAGACGTTTAAATAAAATTATACAATTTACAGATATGTATACAAATATATATATCCTATATACACCATCATGTATAATGATGATGTATGATGTAGTGTGGTAGATAACAAGTAAATATAGAGTTACATACAGATCCATGTTACAGCAAAAGATGGAATAACTCAGAAGCACGCAGTATAATAATAATTACATGCAACAATTAAATAACTGCTCAGCATCTCCACCACAATCCCAATCTGCTGTGTCCTGTTTTCCTCCCCTCTGCATAACACCCCATCACACATACGAAACACAACGCAGAGTCCGAGGGTGTTAAGAGTATGTTTATTGAAATGTCCTCCTCTCTACTGGCCAACACAGGGAGCATATGCTGGGTGTAGAATTGTTCCAGGAAGAGGAGATTTCCATGCCATGCAGGGTCTTTGGGGATGGGGATGATGATCGCCTCCTTCGTGGTGCACACAACAAAGTAGCAGAGACTCCGGTCTGTGATATGCAGCTGCCCTTGGACCTGGTGCCAGTATGGGTGATTCTCCTTGAGAATATATGACCCACCCTCCTCACGAAGACAGAAGGATGGTAACTGGACTGCCTCTGCGATGGTCATGTTCCTCTGGCTGTGTGGACACTTCACCTCCAGCAGGGCAGATGGCTGCACAAGTCCATCGGGTGATGCTCCCAAAACACCCGACTCACTCACAAAGAGACCAGACTCGATTCGAACACTGTCACTTGATAGGCCTCCACAAAAGCCTCCACAAAATCCTTCACCCCTTCGGCTTCGTTTACAACCCCCCAGTTGACAGTTGGCGATGTCTCTGGCCAGTGGGTTGTATGTCTCCTCTCGCTGTTGGTAAAGTTGAGACACCGGCTTGACTACTTTGGAAGTGCCAGGCTTCCTCCACTGGCACTCAACATCTGTGGAGCTGATCTGCCACATGGCAAATATTGCCAATGCTGCAGCGTGGCTGCATTTGTACATCTCCTGTGCACAATCACAGACAGCGCTCTGCATCGCGCCATCGTCTCCCATGCAGATCTGTAAAAATAAAGTAAGTACTATTTGTTAGCATGCTATAATAGATTGAATGAGCAATAATACAAGGATGGTCCGGATCTGGGGGTGGGAGGGTTTATTTTTCCATAGTTTTGTCCTCTTGTCTGTTGTTATTGTTTGTTTTTTCTGTATTTTTTGTAATTTGTGTTGTATTGGTTGTGATTGTACATTGTATTTTTCTAAATTTGTATGAATACATTTTTGAAAAACATTTGATCAACAATAAAAAAGGATTTGGTCAGGATCTAGACTCAGTGTGTAGTTTATTAATTAATCAATGCTCTCTACATTAGGAAAACACATACCAGTGTACCAGAGGGAGTCACACACAGCTGTGCCTAGATAACCAAAATCCTTGAATCTACACACAGCAAATAAACTCAAATGACACAACGAGAAAAAGGAGATCACACATACAGTATAGTCGATATAAAACTGTCCGCTTCAATCTGAAGAGCAACTAAAACAAAACACGGGAGTGTACCTTGTTCTTGTGAACACTAATGTTATCCACAGCATACAGAGACCACGAAGTTCTTAAGGAGAAAACTAGTTGCTAAAACAAAACACGTTAGTGTACCTTGTTAGCTAATGTTAGCTAGCTGACATTAACGTTAAACATTGCACTCATATTACTCACCGAAACCTTGTAAAGCCGGTCCCGCATGCTGGCTCTTACAGAACCGACTAACTCCCCTTTCATATAGGTACAGCTCTCAACGTGCCCAGACTTGTAGTGATGTTCACCTCGTAAAATAATTTTATTCTCATTCTGAAAGAATGTGGTGAAATGTGCTAACGTGACGGCCATCTTTATGTTGGTGACGCGTATTGTGCGAGACGAGAGACCTGTAGTTCACTGAGCGGTTTCACACAAACAAAATTGTAACTTCACAGTTTTACGACACATTTTTATTTTTTTGACTTGCAAAATGTTCTTTTAAATTGACAAACATCATATGTGTCATTCGTGGCACAATTCAAACGGGATCAAAAGATAACCTTTCTCTCTCCATTGACTTCAATGTATAATTTTCCGCTTCCGGGGTCCCATGGAGGCTTTCGGAAGGGGAGGGACTTCGCCTCTCCATGAACACGTTTTTTATTTTATTTATAAAAATTAATATATTTCATTTTTTAAATTATAAATAAACTGTGAACTTTTATGCTACGATGTATGTGATGCAGAGTCCTGCACGGGTCTGATTTTCAAGACCCGCTCCCGCCCCGTACCCGCGACGTGCAATACCGAACCCGCTCCGCTACCCGCACATATTGCCAATTAGTTCCGCAACCCGACCCGACCCGTCGGCACAAGATCCGCAACCCGACCCGAACCCGCATAGCCTATGAGCAGTGAAAACGTGCAATTATTAACACACGCAGTTTCATATTTGTCTCAGAAAGCGTGGGATGTTGGTTATTTCCTCCATCTAGGATGACACAAAAAGCCTCCCAGACGTTGGATTTCGCTCTTGAGGAAGTGTTATTGAAAATGCTGTATTCTCCGCTAGAGAGCTTCAGCTCAGCCATTTCGAATGTGGCGCGCACAGCAGCAGATTGATGCGCTGCAGAGGTTATGATCATGGGCGTCGCCTGGGGTAGGCGGATGTTTTTTCTTTAGCCCCGGACAACTTCTCCCTCAATAATATAATACATTAACCTACTTTACCTATAGGACAGACGGCAGGAATGTAATTTCCCATGTTCAGTGAATGCAACACAGAGGCAAGACGACGCCACCAGACCAATCAGAGAGTTGCATGGACATAAACGTGTTTTATTGGCTGACAGGTACGTACTCTCCTCTGTGACAATGTTTAAACTTTAAACTGTCAGCCCCGGACGCGGAGATTCTGAAGATGGACATTAGACATTTCTTTAATAAAAAAGACGGCAATTCTCAGGTGGTGGCTCACACAACAACCCCAGAGCCACCACCTGAGCCAGGTGAACAAGGTATGTACCTGTCAGTAAACTTACAAGTTATGCGAACATGTAAGCAAAGCATAAATTATAGCTACGTTGATGTTACTTTGAATCGCGCGGGTAAGCTAAACCGTTAGCAAGTAGCTATAGCTAGCCAGATATATTAAATAAACACTTTGTCATACAATCTAAATGTTGTGTTTTTTAGCGTTACCTGGTGATTTCAAAGAAAGCTCTCTGGGAAATGTTGACTTACTGTCTGTGTTCCACATGAAGCTAGAAGCTACCTTACAGTACACAGTTGATCCTGATTCCGGAGTCCTGTCAGTTAAAGTGTTTCATAGTTAGCTTAGCTAAGCATCAACCTAGCACTGAAATATATGGATGTTATGTGACAGTATTTCTGAGGAAAAGTCAGCTGAAATGGTGGCATAGTTGCCACTGCTTTACGTGTCGACAGCATGTTTGAACGTATTTGCAGCAGTAAATGTGGCTGTCTGGCCACTAGGCCGCAAGGTGAACCTCGAAAAGTCCTTTAGAAAAGAAATCCCGCTCCACAGAAGTGAAACTACACAATCTTTAGTTCATAAAAAAGAACGATTCATGCTTATCCACCAAAAAAAATTTCGTCGCTAAAATTCCTGCCAATTCTTCTAGGCACGTAATTATTGGCTGAACTATTCCCTTCGAAGCGTAATAATATCTTGGTCCAAAGTCGTGCCACGGTTCATCACGTGATCGTGCTACACCAATTGGGTAGCTGCATATTGTCAACAGAAGTGAAAGATGGCGGCCGCCATGGTTTCATCGAGTAGCGGAGACGAGGAAAACGCACCAGAAAGTCTCAAAAAGTCAAAATTGTCAACACACAAACATTGTTACATGCATATTACGTCTGTGAAGCACGAAAAGGTTGATTGTTTTACCAATACAAGATGGAATACGTACAGGACAAGCTTACAACGGTCGCTCGGCTTGAAGGGAGACTCTCGGAACGTGGTGGCTGAAAACCACAAGCACTGTCTTGATTTCGAGTTCGAAGATATTCCTGAGGACGCTGGCTTCCACCACACATGCTACATAAGGTTTACCGACACAAAGGCCATGACGAAGGTGGAAAGACGGCTCGCACGTGAGGGAGATCAAGACGTTAGGGAGGACCTTGAGGTCGAGCCCATCCCATCGACGTCTCGCAGCACGTACCGAAGCCAAACAGAGAAGCTACGATCAAGGTCAGGCCTGCCAATCGCAGGCTCTGGCCCCGTCCTTCCTGCCCTGTGCATTATATGCAAGATGAAGGAGAAAATGATCATCAAAGCAGGCAAGCGACAAAGGGATCAACTGTGTAAGGCTGAAACATTAAAAGCAGGTAAGCAAAACCCCCTCCCCCACCCACACACCACACACACACTACACACACACCACACACACACACACACACACACACACACACACATTCTCTGTGGTTGAATAACTGAAAGGTACAATTATGTGTGAGAGATACGTCAACAAACTCATTGAGTTGTCCTTTTTTTCCGTTTAGGCAAATTGCAGAAAGCTGCTGAGAAGAAAGATGACCAAAGTGTTCTTTTACATATAAAAGACAAAGACTGTGTGGCTCTGGAGGTGCGGTACCACTAAAGCTGTTACAGTCAGTACACCATGTTTTTGCTGAGACCTGACAAACCAGAGACAGAACAGTAAGTTATTTCTCCTTGGATTGCTTTACCTATTTGCACTACCACCAGACTGAAGTCCAGGTGTGTGTCGGCGATGGCTATATATATATATACACATACACATACTTAACATTATAAGTAAACATCCAATTTCCTTCTGTTATATGTGCACACAATCACAACACTTATTCATTTATCCATTTATTTACTTCTCATTCATGTGTTGTAGGGATGAGGCAATGTTTGATGCCAGTTACAAGCTGTTCTGTGAGAGGATCATCCGCCAGAGGCTGCTTGTCAACAATGAGGTGCTTAGAATGGGCCAGCTGAGGCAGGCCTTCATTGACATGGTGAAAGCAAACAAAGGTGTTGATGCTTCAAACTACAGGTAACTGCAATGTAATACAAGTCTTATTATTTATCATGTGCAAGGCCAGCTTTAAACAAAATGTGTATGACAGGCCTGTTTGGAGAAACCCCCATGATGTGTAGTGTGTAGTGTTGTTTGTGATGATGTGGGCCTTTATTTGGCTTCTTTGGTGTTAAATGTGCTGTATGGCAGATAGGTTCTAGTCTGTAATGTCTTGTATCACCTCCACCACTCTGCTTTTGATGGTACTCCTGTGACTCGTAATTGTCACTGTTTTGTTGTGTTACAGACAGGATCTGTTGAAGAAGAGGCTGGCTCAAGATTTCCCTCAGCTAGCGTTTCACATGCCCACCAAGCGCAACGTCTGCGAACTGGTTTTTGCTGAGACTCTGTCAAAGGATGCACTCGTGGACATGCTACCAGATCCATCCGGTACGGAAACAACACAGTCCAGTGAATTGAGCCAGACAGACAGCGACAATGAAACAGGGAGAACAAAGTGCCAAACAACACATGAGGACACAAGGACACTGTATACAGCAGCGTTGTTTTTGAAAAGACTGCTTAGTGACACTCCTGGCATGTCATGCCCATGGCCTCCCACTTCTGAAAATGTAAATGTCACTGAATCTCAAACTGTTGTCCCCATTGGACTATACAATCTGCTCAGCTGGATTATAGGTTCCACTGAGGAGCCAACACTGGATCATTATGTCAACATTGATGATGACGTACATTTGAAAGTGTTGTCTGTTTGTCAAGACATTGTGTACCTTGCTTCCAAGGGCCGCAAGCAGACACCCAAGTCCTTGGCTTTAGGTTTAACTGTTCGACATTTAACTGGATCATCACGCATTGTATCACTGCTTAACAGACTGGGACATTGTGCATCATGGGACACAGTTTTGAGTCTAGACACTAGCCTTGCCCAACTGACACTAGTAGAAGGCAGAGACAAAATACCGAAGGGATTCTCAAAGCGGACACCCACAACACTTGTGTGGGATAACATTGACTTTGGTGAGGAGACACTATCGGGTCGTGGAACTACTCACCATACAAATGGAATTATGCTCCAGAGTGTGCCCGGCGAGCCTATGTCCACAGCAATCAGACAGCCACTGAGAAAGGGAGTTACCTCATTCATAGCCCCCCCCCCAATGCCTATACAACCTTACCATCAGTCCAAAAGGCAAGGGCCACAGAACTTGTGTCAACCAGTGCAGTCAGCGACATGCAGAATGGACACCCACTTTGCTGTACAAGCTGAAATGGCATATGCTTTTGTGAAGTCCACATGTACGGATAGTTGTACAATCCCAAGCTGGACAGGGTTCCATACACTGCTTCAGGATGAAAACACTCTGCAGAAGTCCGCATTGTATTATCTTCCAGTCATTGAAGCCTCACCAACAGAGATGTCAACAGTCAACACTTTCCTGAAGCGAAGTGTCCAGATTGCTGACCAGCTAGAACTGGATCATATAGTTTAGTGTTTGACCAGGCTATATATGCCAAAGCACAGCAAATACGCTGGAAGGATGTTGAGTTTACAAAGCGTCTAGTGATTAGACTAGGTGAATTCCATACATGCATGTCCTACCTGAGTATTCTAGGCAAAAGGTTCGGAGATGCAGGACTGCAAGATATCCTCATTGAATCTGAAGTTGTTGCCCCAGGATCCATCAATGGGGTACTCAATGGCCATCACTACAATCGCAGCATGAGGGCTCATAAACTTCTATATGAGAGTCTGCAGCGCATCCGGTTTATCACCTTCATGGACTCCTTGCCACCCCAAGAGAGAGCTGCGTGCATGGATGTCATCACTGAGATGGAATGTGCCTTTCCAGACAGATTGATGGATGTTTTGAGTGCAGATCAGAGGTTTGGTAATATGTGCTCGAAATATGCAGACTTTCTGCAGAGGAGGAGTACAGAGAATGCAACATTTGCTTTCTGGAGCTCATACATTGACATGATGCAGCTACTCCTCCTGTTTGTGAGAGCAACGCGAGAATCAAACTGGCAGCTTCACCTGTCAACCGTCCGGTTAATGATGCCATGGTTTTTTGCCTACGATAGAGTAAATTACGCTCGATATTTACCTGCATACTGGCTGGAAATGATGAATCTGCCTGTCACACATCCCTCTTGCCACAGTGACATGAATGTGAAAGGCCAGTGGACTGTCCAGCGACAAAGTGTTCATGGATTTGCCTCCATTGCTTGCGACCAGGCTATTGAGCAAACGCTTAACAGAGATGCCAAGACCAAAGGTGGCTGGACAGGGATCACACAAAATCGGTCTGCAGTGTATCGCTGGATACTGTCACAGCATGAAAGAGCCGCGATAGCAAGACAGTGTGAATCAATGGCAGGGATATCTCCTGAGCTACGGACAAGAAAAGACCTGGACAAGACACGCATCTCTGCTGATGCAAAGGCTGTGAGTAGAATCTTGGACACTATTGATTCCATGCTCAACCCTTTTGATGTACACCAAGACGGCATTGTGTGTCTTAGCTCTGGAAGAGTAGCAACAGGAGAAATCACAAAGGATTTGCTTGTTGCCTCAGAAAAGGGTGAAAATGCTGTAAAGGAGTTTATGGAGCAGAGACTGTTATCCAAAACAGTTGACATATTTGCCCCCATAATATCACAACAACTCAAGACTCTCAGTGATCAGAAAAAGCCCCCCAAAAAATCTGCAGCAGGCAAGGAAGTGATTTTGCGTGCTGACAAGAAGTTATTTTCCAGGCTCCTCATCCTTGGCCAGAGCAGGAAAATTGAAATGAGGGAAATTCTGTCATATTCCTTGGGAACTGTGTCATATCCATTGGCAAGTGCTGATGGTTCACTTGCCAAAACAAACAAATCAGCTCTCATGGATCTATTGCAGAGCAAAGGTGGAGAGTGCTTGGTTGACAAAGTTCCAATAGGTGGTGCCATTCTTTTTGATGGCATGGCAGTCATGCAGGCCATGCCATCCAGACCAGCAACATTTGGAGAGCTTGCAGAGACCATACTGCAGAGTATACTCCAACTTGCTTTGCATCACAAGTGTACACGCATTGATTTTGTCACTGACCGGTATCCACCCATCAGCATCAAAAGCCTAGAACGGTCCCGTAGAGCTGATGCAGGGTCACAACTAATAACAATCTTCAGCCCAGATCAGAGAACTCCAACCCAGTGGAAGAAGTTTCTCTCTGACGGAAAAAATAAGGAAGCACTGGCCGAATTCCTTTATGTGGCATGGACACATGCAGACCTCACAACAGTGGGTAAAAACCTCAGCTTGTACATTGCCCATCAAAATCAATGCCACTGTGTAACTGTCATGGAGGGTGTACAGTCTGTTGATGTTGTTGAAGACCTGCAGTGTGATCATGAGGAATGTGACACACGGGTGTTTTTACATGCCCAACATGCTGCACAGGAGCACAAAGCTGTCATCATCAAGAGCTCGGACACTGATGTGGCAGTCATTGCTGTAAGTCTGCAGGCAGATTTGCCATGCAGCTTATATGTGTTCACAGGGACTGGCAACAGGACACGGATCTTTGACATTGCCATGGTGTCATCAGCTCTCGGAACCAGTGTGTGTTCAGCCTTGATTGGAATTCACACGTTCTCTGGGTGTGACTCCACAAGCGCTTTCTATGGCAAAGGCAAAAGAAAGTCATTTGCTGTTGCATGTGAGAAAGATGACTACCTTAAGGCTTTCAGAAGTTTAGGTACTAACTTTGACTTGGAGCAATCAACATTTGCACTTCTTTGCCGGTATGTATGTCACCTGTATGATCAGCCAGCAGCCGAACATGTAAATGATGCTAGGTACAAGGCTTTCTGTATGGCATCATCGGCCTTGCCAGAATTAAGCATTCCCCCTACTCATGATGCCCTCCATCAGCACTGCAAAAGGGCAAATTACCAGGCAGCAATAATGAGGTCCTGTCTCAAAAGAGAAATGAATGCTCCATCACCTGCTGGATATGGTTGGGAAATAGAGGATGGGAACTTACACGTCACCTGGATGACAAGAAATCCTGCCCCTGACAGTGTGTTGCATGTGATACACTGCAGCTGCAAAGAGTCTGCCTGTGAGAAAGGCAGATGTTCATGCTTCTCTGCAGGACTCTGTTGCACAGACTTATGTCGTTGCTCAAATTGTGCAAATAAAAAAGAAACAGAGGAAGAGAACGATGACTGCCCTGACACTGACAGTGAGGAATAGGAATAAAAGAGCCTTCTTTCCATCTTTCTTAAGCTCTTTTCTGTTCTTTTGGTTTTAGTGCCTGGCCGACGCGCTCACACATCACTCATAGATACGTTTGTTTTTGGTACTAGAACAGAGTATAATCAGCAGGACTCTTTTAACCAGCTGAGGCAATCACAGCACCAATCAGCCGCTCCGCCCAGCCTGACGCCAATCAATTATACTACATTACATGTCCTTCTACTGTTTTCTATGTCATACCTTTTATATTTGTAATAAATCTCGTTTTTATGGTTCATCAGTGTTGTTTTCATTTGTGGAGGGATGAATGAGTAAATAAATGAATCAATGGACATTGGTATAAGTAAGGCAAGGCAAGTTTATTTATATAGCACTTTTCAACACAAGGCAATTCAAAGTGTTTTACAAAAAATTAAAGACATTAAGAAAATGGCATTTAAAATCAGTCATTCAAAAGAAAAGCTAATAAAAGAAACATTAAAAGAAAAAATACATGGATAAAAGTTACAGTGCAGTCAAAGATATGAATAGTTCAATTAAAAGCAGCAACAAAAAGAAAAGTCTTCAGCCTGGAAGTACTGCATTTTATTGATCTAAATTACTTAACGTAACAAGTTAACCTTCTTCTTGGACGCAGAAATCAAGTCATGTTTATTTTAAGAGTGCATTTAACGTGTACAGGGTAACAACAGACAGACAAAAAGTCCTCAGTCTAATGGAATAATCCCAATGAACCTAGCGATGTGAACATGGCAGTCCAGGAATGATAGTTTGATAAATATGAGTTTGATATACTTTATTAATCCCCGTGGGGAAATTGTTTGTAGCTGGAGTTGGCTGATAAACGCTGCTAGTCAATGTTGATTCGATGGTCAACTCTGTTCCCAGATAGTAAAACCTCTCACAAATACCGCGTATATAACGCAAATACCTCGGACTTAGTGATGTATTAAGACATATGACAAAACATGACATAAAACAAGCATACAGCACTGTTTAGAATCCATTTGGTCTGGTTTAGCGTAACCATGGCGGCCGCCATCTTTCACTTCTGTTGACAATATGCAGCTACCCAATTGGTGTAGCACGATCACGTGACGAACCGTGGCACGACTTTGGACCAAGATATTATTACGCTTCGAAGGGTCTAGTTCAGCCAATAATTACGTGCCTAGAAGAATTGGCAGGAATTTTAGCGACGATATTTTTTTTGGTGGATAAGCATGACTCGTTCTTTTTTATGAACTAAAGATTGTGTAGTTTCACTTCTGTGGAGCGGGTTGAAACGATAACAGGGTTCACCTTATGGCCTACACTGACGTTGCCATAACAACACCTGCATTTAAATGTGCAACCTCTTTTTGAGACAGATTTTGCATGAAAATATAATTCTTCTGATTGATATTTCCTATTGACAGCTAGTTTCTATGTGAACATTAGCAGATGGACAGTCAGCTAATAAGCTTTTTATGCAAATATTTCAGATCAAAGCCAATCCAGTGGGGCTCCTGAAAGGGGGCAAGGGACACTATGCTCCCAAATATTAAGCCTTGACCCGCATCTTAAAATTGATATGATCAAAAAATGATCTGCATTGTCGGAGGCCTTTTTTCCTCATGATCATGTCAAATTGTACAGCTTTCCTTAGTGTTGAATGCAGAAAGATGACTATATTAGAGTATTAAGTGAAAATGACTATATTAAAGTATGAAGTGAATATATTAAGTGAATTACTCAAACTGCATTTGTATAGGAATGATTCTGTCCTATTGGCAGATAACTACTCTAACAGTGATATCTACAAGAGGTTTCCAATGTAAATGTAACTATTTTCAATTGGTTAGTATTACATTGTGTGACTGTGTGGTGACACTCATTTGAATGAAGACAAATGTGTGTATCTTGAAATTCATTTATTTGACAGAGCTGGAAACTGATTGACTTACATACTTGTTTGTGTTTACCTACACAGTCATCACAGATGAGCCAAACAGAGGATGAAGAAAGGAGAACAGGAGAAAGGGACACACAAGAAGGAGATACAACAGACAAGAACGACAATGGAGACAACAATGAACAGGAACACCAGAACAGACAAGAGTCAATGAGTAACATGACTGATTTAGGGACTGCAGATACAGGGCCAAGGCAAGTGAGACATCACTGCTTTCCATCCAGCATGTTTGGCCAGCAAAATAGATCATTTCAACCGCAAACAGCAAGTGATGAGGGATTATTATTTCCTCCTTC